GAGGGTGATGTGGGATGGACACCACCACTATTACCATTTTAAGTAGTATAGATTTTTTGCTGACTAGGTTACCACGTAGGCTAGAAGCCACTCTCAATACCACCAAGGGACTTAGATTTACACTGGTTTTAGAAGTTGAAGGATGTGACCTGGTTTTGTGGTTGAAGGACACGAATAAAACTCGATCCATATTTGAAGGGACCTAAAGTGAACTTTTTCTTTAGAAAATCACATAGTCCACATATCTAGCCAAGCCCATTAAGGGTCCGGTGAGATTGTAATCAATTCCATTGCCCAAACACCATTATGGCCCATAGGCCTGAAGCACAAAAGATCTTCGAGCTTGCCTGCCTTGCCAGGCCTAGGATACTGTATATTGGGCCTCATTTCTTCTGTTTCCGAAAGAAATGCTACCTCCTTCTCCAAAAGGAAAAAGTACACCGAAGTCCCTCAACTTCTCATCAGGTTACAAGGTTACAAGAACGTACTTGAACCGCAAAACCAGATATACGGGGTCTCTTAACTATACAAAACCGGTCACAATAGGTCCCTCGGTGGTTTTGGTCCCGGTTTTATCCTACGTGGCTGTTGAGTCAGCGTGGGACCCACGTGTCAGCCTGTCCAGGTCAGCTTCTCTTTCTTTCCCCTCTTCTCTCCCTTCCTCTTCCCTCTCTCTCTCACTCTTCTCTCTAGGGCTCTGGGCAGGCCAGCGGACCGACGGGGCGAGGCAGGAGAGGAGGTCCGGCGGCCGGCGGAGACGACGCGGGAGCAGGGGAGCAAGTCGGCGACGGTGGCGAGATGCCCATGGCAAGGTACTGGAGGCGGAGCTCCGTCGGGACGGGGAGCGGGACGACGGCGGCGGATGGCGGGCACGGGATCGCGTCGCCCACCCGTGGCGACGCCAGCGCCAGCATCGCCCGCCCGCACGCGATCTCCCCCACCACCGATCTAATGATCAACACTATGCACTACATGGCAACCATTGGTGGTAGTGTGGTACTAGTCGTGGCTAACTAACTGGAGGATTTCCTCATCCTTCCTGTAAGTAAACAGCAGCAGTCAATTCACAACAATGGCATCTCACCGTCACCTTGAACACATAACAGGTGCTGAAGGGTTTGGTAGCGACGATGGGGTCATGCAGTGTTGTTGCCACTGCCCACTGGTGAAGGCTTTCACCATCGATTGCTGCGGCATTTGCTTCAGGAGATTCCTCAACGTCCATAGAATCGACTTCTGTCTCATTAGACTCCATTGGCACTTCAAAGAATTCTCTCTTTTCTGAATCTGAAGAAGACCAATTAGATGCCGTGGCAATTTGTGGTGGTGTCCAAGGAGCTAAAGCCAAGAAGTTGCTGCACCCAGGAGATTTGTCCTCCAGCCCGTGATAGTTCCTTTGCATAAAAACCTGATTGAAAGATGAGAAAGAAAATGGTGAGAAGCAATTTCAAGGTATGGATGATAATCCTGTCCTGGCATATAGGAGATCTTGGAGGGACTCGATGAGGAGGAGGGCCGAGGGCACCAGCACGCACTGCGGCGAGCCGCATGGCCCCGGGCGGTAGGAGGCGGAGGCGGCCAGGTTGAACGGCGACGAGGCGGCGCGTCTGGCCGCTGACAGGGGAGAAGCGCAGTGGTGGCGCTCTGCCCCACGCTGTCACCTCCCCGGTCCCATCTTTGGCCGTCGTGGAGCCCCACTGCGGCCGCCACTGCCGCCGCCGTCGCGGCGCCGCCCTCCTCCTCTTCCGCCTCGCCCCACCGAGCTTCGGGCCGGCCGCCACCCTTCTTCACCGCCAGAGTCACGACCACCATCGCCTCGCCGGTTCGCCGCGCCGAGCAACAGGAAGGGAGGCAAGAAAAGAGGGGAAACAGAGAAGATGACGTGTCATACTGACATTTGGGGCCCACGTGGGTCCCACGCTGACTCAGCAGTCACGTAGGATAAAACCGGGATCAAAACTGCCGACGGACCTATTGTGACCGGTTTTGTATAGTTAAGGACCCCGTATATCTGGTTTTGTGATTTGAGGATGTTTTTTTATCCCGATGACAAATTGAGGGACCTTCGGTGCACTTTTTCCTCTCCAAAATCAACATTTGCGGGTTAGTTTAACATAAAAAAGCCACGGAGGGAGCAATTATAATAGAAGGCTATAAAAAGACTGTATGCTGAGATAGATAAGAGAGGAGAGGAGAGAGAGATGAGAAGCCGACTTAGGCATAGTAACCAAGAAAATTTGTGAGACAGACAGGTGAACCATATATTTATAATGAAGAGTTAATCACTATATAAGTGAGCTAAGAGATAGGCTATAAGGATCTATACATTAAGCAGTTGGCTGTATTATTATTCTTGCTCTCATGAGGTTCTTCACTGTAATAATGGTGCTTTTTGTACCACGAGCTGTGAAACTGTGAGACAGTGACTGATCCTGCATTGTTCCCAGAACAAGAGGGTAGCCTAGGGGAGTGACGACTGACGACAGGATGCTTTAGACAAACTTGTCTTCGGAAAGATTTGCCGAACGAATGGTCCAGGTCTTCAGATCTAATACTGGTCAAGCAACAAAAGAGGGTGATTCTGCGGGTATGTATACTTTTACCGGCTTCATATGTGTAGTAATCAAGTTTGCTTATAGTTGGAGCTCCAAGGTTACTGCCTCCTCCCTTTTAAAATAAATATAATTTCCTCCATTACATAAAATTATTTAACATATACTCCCCTGTCCTAGAATATAAGAAACTATGATTGGATTGGATATTTCCTAAAATTAGGAATCTGGACATTTACATATTCGTAATACTAGAAAATATCTAATTCAATTTTAGATTCTTATATTATGGGATGGAGCGGGTATTAAGTTTTGAGAAGAAAAATACTACAGTGCATCTTATTTGAATAGGAAAGGATGGATGATAAGGGTAGAATAGGTAGAATTTTAAACAGAGGTGAATCATGAGACAAATAATAGTATAAGGTGACAACGATTTTGGGATAAACTTTAAACCCTAAGAAGACACCATTATGAGACAAAGGTAGTAGCTACTCCCTCTGTTTCAGGTTATAAGACATTTTGATTTTCATCAAAATCAAACTGCTTTAAGGTTTGACCAAGTTTATAGAAAAAGTAGTAACATTTTTAATCCAAGACAAATTTATTACGAAAATATATTTAATTATTGATTTGATGAAACTATTTAGTATTATAAAAATTATTATATTTATCTATAAACTTAGTCAAACTTAAAACAGTTTGATTTTGACCAAAGTCAAAACGTCTTATAACCTGAAACAGAGAGACTATTTAATACTCCCTCCATCCCAAAATATAACAAAACAACTTTTAGCCTTCAGGATTTGTCCCAAAATATAGCAACTTCTCCACCAACATTCTCTTCCCAACCAATCACAACCCTTCATCATTCATTTTTCTCACGTACCTCCACTACTCATCCAATTATAACCCTCCACCACTCACTATGCTTAATTTATGGAGTAATGACCCTCATTAATTTACAGGAAATACTACACAATGCAATCCAACTATGAATGTAAATAGCTTGACTATATACTACTTCAAAAAAAAAAATTCTCAGCACCACTACTGACACGTGGAGCCATGAGGTGCACTACATAAGGTCTGTGTATTCCCTCCGGTCTGATAATATTAGTCGTTTTGAACAAGGGTACAATTAAATTTTAAAATCTTTGACTATAAATATTTTCTAAAATATTTGTCTTAAAATATGAAAACCAGATGTGTAGATTAGTCTTAAAAAGTATTTCAATAAAATCATATATTTGTTGATATTTTTATATATATTATAATAGAAAATAGTTATCAAAGCTACTTTTCGAAGACCGTGCCCTTGTCTAAAACGATAAGTATTATAAACCCGGAGGGAGTACTAACCTACGTGAGCGCTCTTCAAGACCGGCTCCTAAATCTGTTTGAACTTTGAATATCATATCAGAGGAGATTGGAAGAGGATTGACTCTTTAATTTTCTATTAATTTGCTTCTTTTCGCATATGTTCAAGCAGTAATATTTTAGTTTTTTTTTCCGCAGGTCATAATTTAAAATGGGTTACACATCATAATTTATAGATGGAGGGAGTACTAGAGCACACGGAGTATATATATTTTTTCATGTTTCTTTTATCAAAGGTATCACATTACAAGTAACTAACAGTAACAAACCTGCTGAAATAATCTCTGCAATTAGGCTTAAAAAATTCGTCTCGTAAATTAATCGTAATCTGTGCAATTAGTTGTTTTTTTAGACTATATTTAATACTTTATGTAGATGTTCAAACGTTTGATGTGATATAATGTAAAAATTTTGTGTGGAACTAAATACTCCTAACTAACAGCGACAAACCTGCTGAGAATTGAGATAATCTCTGGCAACAATTCCAACGGCTCTTATATTAACGCAGTCAAACTGTTACTACTTAGATACCGCGAACAACATAAACCGCTGGTCCCAATTTTTAGAGTACGAGCCGTCACACCCTAAAACCTGTACCAAGACAACTCAGCCGGAACAATCAGCATCCGAAGCAGAAGAAAACGAAAGAAAAAGGCGCGCGCGCAAAGTGCGACGGCAGGCAGAGCTGCCGTACTCCGTGCCAGCCGCGATCTGCACAGGCTGCCTACCCTGCGCTGCCAGTTGATCAGCGACGCAGGCACGCAGCCTTCCATTTCCCCAGAAAACGCCCCCCAACTGCACAATGATTGGTGCCCCTCCCGCCGCGCTCGTCCATGCCACACACGTCGCGTCCCATGTCGTCATGCCTCGGACAGCGCGCACGCCGGCCGGCCCCCACCCTGTCCCTCCCGGCGAGCACCGTCGCGTCCTGGCCGCACTGCCCCGTCAATTCCATGTTCCCCCGTCGCGTCGCCTTGCCCGCGACGTCGGGCACCGTCTTTTAGCCGGAAAAGAAGAAGGGACCCCCGCGGCACAGCCCGAGCCGGCGAGCCCTGCCGCCCTCAAAAGAACTGCTCGGTCGGTCCTCTGCCCAGTGCAATGTTCTCTTGTTGCATCAACTTCCTCCTTTTCTTTCTCGCTTTCGCTCTTTTCCTCCAGCGGCATAGCCTCGTTTGGGGGTTAGATCGATCCCTTGCAAGATCTGCTTGCTCGCTTCCGCGCGAAATATTCTTCGGCCACCACCAGCAGCACCAGCGCTAGACAACAAGGATATACGGCGCCCCACATACACACATGTCGTGGTCTCTTCTCCTGTTGCCTCTAAATTAAAGCTGCGGGTCTTGGCGGTTACTGGTCATAATGAAGGATTAGAAGAAGTGAAAGGAACTCTCCATGCATTGGTTTGTGTGATCTGATCGACAATGTCCTGGTGGTCAATTAGACCAACCTTTTCTTTCCCTAGCTTGTCTCTCCCTCATCTTCTTTATCTTTTCTGCGCTGGGAGACTTTCATGCTCTTGTCACGTACTAGTAGTAGTGGTAGTCTGCTTTTCCTTTGAGCAGTGAGGTATCACTAGCTATTTACCGTATAAAAACGTGTCGTGGCTAGGCCACGCTGGTGATACGCTCGCACACAAAACACACTAGACGGGGCTAAGCATCTGGCGATGAGGAGAAAGGGCAGTGAGTGCACAAGAATTACCCCGGAGACCACCGGCGGAGGCAAGCCCACGATCTCGCTGCAGGCGTCCAGCTGGTCCAGCCGGATGGAACCGTCGGACCCGGACCGGCGGTCGAGGCTAGCGCGCGGCGCCTGCGGCTCTCGTCTGCTGAGGAGCGCGCGGTGGACGGCTACGAGGTTCTACCGGCGCGCGAGGGCAAGCGTCGCCCGGGCGTTCCGGCCGGCGTCGACCAAGAAAGGCCCTGCCAGCTGTGCCGCGTCGCGTTCGCCGGACTGTACGCCGGCGAGGAATAGCAGTAGGCGGCATTCCTTGGCGCCGGTGGTCGCCGATGACTCCCACAAGAGCGAAGCTGTGGAGGAGTGCATCAGGTTCATGAACTCCTCGTCAAGGAAGTACCGGTAGATTTGTTTTTTCTTTCTTTTTTGTGGTTCTACAACCTACACTCGTGCGCGGATGCTAGTGTCTTTCCACTGTATTTTCCCCATTTGGCCTTTCATCTATGTGCGCATTTGCTCTAATCTTGTACTAGAGTGGAAAAATCATACGGCTGGCTGTTCGTTTCATTCATCTTTATGCCGATCTACCTCTGAAATCTCTCCCCGCGAATAGTATTTTCGTTTGTGTATAAGAGTCAGTATCACAGTATGTAGTAGCTCAGTCATCAACATAATTAAGCTAGTTTTTGTGATGTTTTCCAAGTCGAAATTTTTGTACTATATTGATTTTATATCTTTTAATGACTACATATCCGATGGTACTTACAAAATACTACATTTGTTTTTTTAATATACGACACCCTTAACTTTAAGTTTTTAAGATACGTTTGAACATTATTTTCATTTATTTTTTTACATATATAAAAGTTATAAGTCATGCTGAAAAAAACTTTAAATGATAAATCAAGTCATAATAAAATAAATGATAATAATGTATTTTCTTAAAATAAAATAAATAGTCAAACTTATCTTAAAACATCCATGCCGTCATTTATAAAAAAAGGAGGAAATATTACAAGAAAGAGATAAAAAACAGGAAAATATATTTGATGAGATACTGGTAGCACATAGTAATAATTGAAGGAAATTTTTTTAGGAAAAATATCCCCCCTCCCCCCCCCCCCAAACCCTAAACTAGAGGTCTTAATTTCCTGTGTTCCTCTATCTATGTGTTTATGAAAATGAATGTTAAGTTCCTGGGGTGATATTTTTCTCATTGTTTCTGACAGCATGCAGCATGCATAGAAACTTACTCTATGCAGACGATATAAAAAATATTCGTTGTAATAGGATGTCACATTCCAAGGTACATTAACTTATTTGGGCAGAGGAAGTAGTACCTCTAATCTGTACACTGTCCGATGAAGTGTTGTACTCTACAAAAGTTATGAACTTGTGATAGTATATTTCTTCACAACCACAAATGAAGACGGTGAGTCTACACACTGATAAGAAAAACTACTACTTTTGACTGCAACATCCATTCGAAAAACTTCAACGGGTAGTTTGGATTTATATATGTAAGGGCTCCATCGTATTATAAATAAAGCTTAAAAAATAATAATGAGATAGTCTTATCGTCCCTTGGAGCGTATAGCTAGCTAGTTATTGTAAAAACATTATAGCAAGATCTTACATCTGAATTTAGATGTCATAAGTACGTCACACAAAACAACCTTGTTTTTTTTTTCGGGGAAAAACAACCTTGTTTTTGGAAAGCGTGAAAAACTTGTTTTATGTTAAATGGATCAAATTTATACTAGGAAAAAGTACGTATTACCCCCTGAATTATTGCGAGAGTATGGATTACCCCCTCCTCCCCCCTCCCAAAAAAAAAACCACAAAATCAGACATATTAAACCTCAAACTATTGAAACCGGACGAATTACCCCCCTGACTCAATCCGGGGCGGTTTTAGTCCTACATGGCATACACGTGGCACCGCCATGGAAATTCAATCAGCAAAATTAGGTGGTCCCACATGTCATGCTCATGTATTTCTTCCAGTTTCCCCTCTCTTCATCTCCTCCAGGGCAGATAGAAAGCGGCGCGGCGTGGCACTCTCCAGGGCGGCCGGGAGAAGCAGCGACGGCGGCGTCCAGGGCTGGTGGGGGAAGCGACGGCGTCCAGGGCGGGGTGGGGAAGCGGTGGCGGCGACGACGGCGGCGTCCAGGTCGGGCTGGGGAAGCGGCGGCGACGGTGGCGTCTAGGGCGGGCGGGAAAGCGGCGGCGATGACGGCGTCCTCCAGGTCGAACGGGGGCGGCGGTGGCGGCGCCCTCCAGGGCGAGCGGGGGAAGTGACGGCGCCCTCCAGGGCAGGCAAGGGAAGCGGCGGCAGCGGGCGCTCGTGCTCCTCCTCCGTGGCGCCTGAGATGGAGCGGGCACTCGTGCGCGGGTCAGCAACCGCTACGAGCTCGCGGTGGAGGCGGCGAGATCAACGACGAGCTCCACAGAGATGGAGAGAAGAAGGGAAGGGGCAAAGAGGAGGGGGAGAAGAGGAGGATTGGGCTGACAGTGGGCCCCACCATATTTATTTGTTGTGGCTAACAAGTGGGTCCCATATATTTTTCTTTGTTTTGGCTGACTAGACTGCCACGTGTGCGTCCACGTAGGACCGAAACCACCCTGGATCGATCTAGGGGGTAATTCGTCCGGTTTGTAAAGTTCAGGGTTAAAAATAACTGGTATTGGAGTTCATGGTTAAAAATCAGACGACCGTAATTGTTGAGGGGGTAATTCGTACTTTTTCCTTTATACTATCAAAAGTCCAGGACACAAAAACCAATCCTAGCCGAGAAAGATGAATGGTAGCGCAAGTCTGTTCACACTTCAGACCTTTAACTTCTCTGGAGTCCTGTTTTCTACATAGGTGAAAAAGAGGAAATTGGGAAGATACGCAAAACAAGGTAGTCATTAATGTATGATTAATTCAATACTAATTATTTCAAACTTGAAAATGGATTAATATGATTTTTAAATCACCTTTCCTACAGAATTTTTTTAGACTGCTTGTAATCGGTCATCCGGCGAAGAAAAGAAAAACTAAATGTTGAGCTTAAGGCTCCCAAGCTGTATGTGCCTGAGTCTCTCTCTCTCTCTTCCTTCTCCTTATGCACCTGCAACTCACTACCTAGGTTGCATGCAGTAATGAAGTCTATCTGCTAAGACTTTTGTGCATGCATGGAACTATCTTTTTCCATTAAAACTATTTATCCGATTTATAATTCGATTGTACCATTGTATTGTTTTATTAAATATTTACAATAAGATCTCAATGATTATATTCTAACAAACAAATTATATTTTTTTAGCCCGTTAAATTTTCATGTTTCACACGTGAGAAATAAATGCTTTAATTGGAATTCGACATTGTTGCATATTTTAAGTTTTGTGTTGCAATTGATTATTTTTATGTGTTACGTGCACATAGTGTTATTTTGGTGTTTTACTAGATATTTTTTGATATTTCACTAGTTTATATCTAAAAGTTGAAGTTGCATGTGGTGTTATTTGAATGTTTCAGTAAGTATTTTTTTAATGATGTTTCACTAATTTATTTACGATTGTTACATGGGGTGTTGTTTGAATGTTTTAAAAAGTATTTTCTAATGTTCCATCAATTAAAGCTCATTGTTTCATGTATTACATAACAATATTTCAATACAAATATAATCATATTTATATATTTTATAATAAATATAATCAAGTGAGATCTTGTTATAACTTATAAAAATTAATTGTAATGAATATAATGATGAAATCAAATCACACATATAGGATAGGTAATTTATAAGGAAAAATAGTATAAATTTTTGCTAAAAACATTATTAAGGAAGAGCAAGAGGGATTGCATGTAGTAGAGTGGTCCATAGGCATGCATCATTTGTCAGAGGATGCTCACATTATTTTTCTTTCACATGCGCCATGCAACCAGGGTGGCAGGGGATGTGCATCCGACGGTAGAGTTTTCCTTTTTTTTTTTTTTTCAAAAGTCACACCATTTAGCAACTCAAGAAATGCACAAGCGGAAAACAATAAAATTCTCCTATTTTTTCCTTAGAACGAACGCTCCCTTAAATCCCTATCCATTTACCAACGATGCTTCTCATACCTCAAGAAGCAATTCCTGCATATAAAAGAGCCAAAGAAATAATATCTGAGCCTAAGTCCGTTCCAATTCAACTTAAATTTGTATACAAATTTAGAATATGCACATTGAAACCATTGAATTCCCCAAAGGCCAACAGAAATATATTCTCATTGGCTTTTCCCGATATAACAGTGACCACAACTCCACGTGTATCGTCATCTCGTGATCATCGGCAATACTCCGTATGACGGAACCGTCTGGGCGTCTGCTGTCTGACCCTGGGACGGAAGACTGGCCGTGGGCTCCTGGCGTTCAGTGGGTACCGGCCTTCCGGCCTGCCGAGCGGAGATTCGATCCGAGCGTTCAGTGGGTACCGGTCCTGTAAAAAATAACGGGCTTTATGGGCCCAAGTCTATAGCCCATGTCTTCGGAGGCAAACGCCATCGTTGACGACGTACTAGTACTACTTCGTTGATATCCGAAAATACAATTTAGTTTGTCGAGCAAATGCGGTTAGGATATAAAAACTGTCTTCCCTCGCACAATATCATGTTTATCTTATGAATACGGGATCATGACGTCCGCTTTTGTATACACTGATCCAGATAGAATTTTTTTCTTTTTAAGAAATGCAGAGAGATAGATAATAGAAACGCTACATGTGTTATTGTCTTGTCAATTTGTGCGTCTTTCTTGACCATATGGTCGGTAGCACAATCATCGTTAACACGACATATTTTACATTTTTACTCATCTGAAACTAACGACTAACCAAATTATAATAGTTGAAGGTAGTCCTCTACTGAAACGTTTCTAATTAATACAAGGATTCCTTAAAACAGATGTGGTTTCTACAAGTACAATACTACAAGTATTTCACAAGAGAGGGGCCTGCTATCCGTGCCATTATTCAGTGTTTGGAAGTCAACAAACAAGAAGGGATGGATCAGATGACCGAAAAGTTAGCTGCAAACTTTGAAACTCATGTCCAACAACAAGCTAGCTTCCAAAGCAGCTGATCAGCCAACATTTTCCTAGAGGAAAGCAGGTAGCAGTTGACTATCAGTCTACACATGCAACACACGAGCAAGTCAGAATTCTTTCCTTACAAAGGCCAGGGACAACGAGCACTCCGTTACGACAAGCCCACGGTTAAATATTATAGCTGGCTTCAGAGCGGCATTTGAATCGTTTAGTACTGTAACATCATGTGTTCCTACTACTGCTTCTCACCTAACTCTATGTATGCAAGCATGCATGAATCACAGCCTATAATACTAATCCATCTCCCCTATATATAATACAACAGTTTTAAAACTTCAGAGTCGATATCTGCGAAGGGAAATTCAGAGCGTGCGCACATATAGCAATCGCCATGCAAAGGTATGCATACATGCAAGAATGGAAAAAAAAAGGAATATGGAATATTAATTAATGGATATATCATATAGAAGTATCAGCAGTGACCATGTTAGTATCCATGTAGCAGAAAAGAAGAAAAGTAGAAGTACATCTCATGATGGAAAGACCAAGGAAAAGGGCAATGGGGAAATCTCGTTTGCGTGCTCTTTCCTGATCCTCCCAGATACTGCATGCAACAACGGACTTTCCCACAACACATGCCGTATCTCATGACATCTCGTACGTACTCCTTTTGATGTGGGGCAGCTAGAACTAGGACTAGGCACAGCGACAAGAGGCCAGGTACAGTCGCGGCAAGCTGCATCTCATGCCATATGTGCGGCACATCAATGCACGGGTCGATCTAGAGGCCGAAGCTGCAAAGCCTGAGCTCCAGCGGCGGATCCCGGCCGGCAGCGACGTCGAAGAACGAGATCTCCCTGCACTGCTCGCCACCGCCGCCCCTCACATACCGGACCTTGTCCACCTCGAGGTCATACGACTTGAGTGGGAACAGCTCCAGCGTTTCCACCTCCCTCGTCGGCCGCTCCCACATCGCTTCCGTCTCCACCACATCCCTCACGTAGCCTGCAAGCGCGGATCGAACAGCAACTTGATCAGCTATTCGATCATGGGTATTCATGCGTACGTATGCATGTATATAGGCGAAATAATTAATCAAAGTATGTATGCTTACATGTCATGAGCCGGTGATGATGGCCGTAGCTTCTGGCCTCCCGCTTGCTCTCAGGAGGCTGCAGGACGAGGTCGGCGTCGCCCTCGTGGGCTGCGGCGCGGCCATCGTCATCGTTGCTGCCGCTGTCGGGGGAGGAGGCGCCGCGGCGGCGCTTCTTGTGGTGGTGGCGCTCGCGGGCCTTGTGGTTCTGGAACCAGTAGAAGACGTTCTTGCTCTCCACCTTGCCGAATGCGCTGAGGTGAGTGGAGATGCGCTGGATCTGCTCCGTGCTCGGCGTCCGCAACCCCGCTCGGAACAGCTCCGTCAGGACCTTCACCTGCTCCGCCGTCGGGTTCCACCGCCCACACTTCACCCCCACTCGCCCGCTAAGAGCCTCCATGACCGACCGACTGATCGATCACTACCTATATATGTAGACAAACCAGATTTGATCCTGAGCTAGCTAGCTACCTTGTTTGATCGATCGATCGATCGAGCGGCTGGGAGCAGTAGAACTGCTTGAAAGCTAATTCACTGATCAAAACGGTCTAACGTAACTTGGCCTTGTGGTAGATAGGTTTAGCTTCTGATTTGGTCTCTTCCGGGATCTTCTTCTGATCAGAAGCAATGCTGAAATCAATAGATGCGCAGAGGGGGGGCACTTATATAGTCGAGCAGAGGCAGGGCCGAGGCGGTGGTCGTGGGAGTGGCAGTAGCGGATTCGAAGGTCCCGGTGCGTAGTTTCTTTCTTTTTTGTCTTCTCGAACAGTGAGAGCGAGAGAGAGGAAAAGGGGGAGGCCGGAGACATGCGCGAAAGCTGCCACTGTTTGCAAGAACGCTACTTTCTTGCTATGGCTAGCTCATCTCGTGCGCTGCGCCCGACATCCTCAAGGCGCGAATTAACAATGCGGTTTTGGTCGCCCATGCATGCAAATCTAAGTGCCATCGTGTCGCGTAGCATCATGTCTTAGAATGAGCCCTGCTTGCGGGGTGATGATTAGAATAATGCGCTGTGCTGATCTGATTTCTGGGGTGCATTATTCCATAGAGATCTCTGGCTCCTTGCATGGGTCGCGACTAGTTGAAGAGAATCGTGGTGAGGACCAGGCTCGTGGCGCATGGACAATCCAGTTTTGGAGTTCGCTCATCTGGTCTAGCCTGACCCATCGAAGTGCCTGCTCGCATTGAATGAAAGGTGTAGATTTCTTGAGTAGCTTCTGAACAGGTTAAGATGCAACAAGACAGACCTGCTATTTTCTCATGGCGAAAGTACAGCGACCACCGAGACGCATGCCAATTTCCCAGAATTTACTTTATTTCTTTTTTATTGCTTACTCCAGTAATGTGTTGCCTATACGTACTGAAGTCTGAAGTTGTATTTGGCCATTTGCACGTCGCTTAAATTATTGGTGGTTGCGCGCGTGGAGATTTGCTATATGAGCGGTTTCAGTCAAACTTGTCAGTGATCTGCATGCCAAATTTAAGGTGTGATCATGCATGGAATTCAAAAGAGGTGTCAGGACAGTAACATGGATGCTACATGCACGGCCGTTTCGATCGCAGCATAAGTCAAACACCGGACAACAATTCATCAAGCTCTTCATCCGTATGGCCTGTTCGATCTAACGAACAGCTGGTACACATAACAGTGTGACAGTACAGGAGCCAGGCAGGCCGGCGCGCGCGACTTCCATTCGAGCGTGGCAACTGTTGGTCATGTGAGGAGAGTAGCTGAGATAGGCACCAACTTGCTGTCTGCATATCTTCTTTTTTGACACATAGCGACAATCACAAACGCGTCAGTTAAACACGCCCAATCATCACGACATGCATACGAGTTAACGCTAGACGCAAGCACCGTACGTGCATGACACTCGATTCGGCTGAATTCCTGTCTGCTTTGCATGCACGGACTCTCCGCGCCAGCGAAAGGTGCTAGTTAAAGCGTACGGGCCTAATGTCTCCAAATTAAAGCATGCAACCAGTACTACTACTACGGGCGAACGACGAAGCACACAATGACCTAATTAAATTTAGTTCTTAATTCCGCTCGTCATCGTTCCGGCTTGTTCGGGGATGCCTCCGGTAGTGGTATCTAAACACCAACCCGTTAAGTCCGCATGAGGCAAGCTTTTTGGACGATCGGCCTCCTGAAAAGTTGAGGAAGATGTCATACTTTTGGGGCGTCCTCACGGCAGAAACCAATGATATGACCACACCCCCCGGCCGCGGCAGGGGCGGGCAATCAGAATGAGATCGCGAGCGGCCGCTCCGGAAAGCGACGGCACGGCCACCTCATTCCTTTTGCTTTGCCGAGTTTTCTATGCCTAGGCCGGGAGCATTGCCGTGCCGCGGTGCATGCGGTTTGAATAATGGCACAACGGTGCGCTCGCGCTCGCGCAAGCTGCTTGGTCCGTCACTGACCAAGCCGCGCGCCAGCTGCGTGCAATCCGGCCGTCGCGGTCGTCGCGGCTCGGCGTCGGTCGCGGCGCCGGCCGAGCCGGCTTTACGGCCCTTTGGGCGTTCCCGAGCGACTCATGCACGGAAAATCCGTGCTGCGTGGGAGCCAATTCCCGAGGCGGACGGGGTCTCGTCTCGTTGGCGCGCGGGCGCGATCGCTCGATCGATCTTTCAGTCTTTCGCCCCTTCGGCTACCCTGCAGATCTCGATCGGGAGCCCGAGCGTGGTCCATGCTGCCTACGACTTGAACTGAACAGAGACGTGCAGCCGGGACGGGATTAGTTAAGTCGATCTCGTGACCACCCTTTCTCGCGTGGCGAATAGATTGGACGGGCGAACGGGACCGGGCCATGATTGGATCGACCTCATCGTATCATTTACGTGTGCGTCTTTTTGTGGCAAAAGTGATTGACGAGGGTGCATGCATGCATGCCATGCATGGGGGATCGCTCTCTCACTCATGGAGGTGTGCGTGGCTGACCGAGTTCAAGGATCGGGCGTAATGGACCGGCTCGAGGGGGGTAAAGTTGTTTTGGGGCTAATTATCATGGCTTTGGATGATTTGTTATGGTTTATTTGGTCGGTATCCTACGCCTTGAGCATGACTGCTTGGTTAACCAGGGGTTACTTTTGCCCCGACAGAGCATCATAAAAAGTAAAGCAAATTGGAATTTGTGGAGCTTAAGTGCATGTGCGTAAGAATCATGAGTATATTGTTGATCATAGATCCATGCTTGTCCATGATTCCATGGCCCATTTTACTCCCCTGCGTCACAAAATGTATTAACAAATTAACCTTAGTCCTGAAATATACGTCGATGTAACGACAGTTTTATGCATACGATTGGCTACACTCTGTACAAGGTCAATACAGTAACACGACATGGTTATACACTTAAATATATATAAGCGAGTCTAGCAGAATTGCATGGAGGAAGACACATTGTCCTGAAGCGTTCGTCGAAAACAGATTCGATCGCCTCAACTTGATCGCCGCCGATTCTTTTATCCTCGCGCGCACAACCACCTGGGACTTGGTCTGGGCAAGCAAGAGGCACCCTATAGCTTCTCTCTCGCCTTGCATATTCATGTCCGTTCTCCCTAGTCTTCCTGAAAATCCACCGCCGATCTCGATGCAACACCGGCCACGCCATCATCCACTGCACTGCACTGCACGCGCGCGCCAAATCAACCGTCTCCGATCAAATCAACGGTACCGATGGGCGATGGGGGTTGAACCGATCGACGCCGTTTGACTTCGGAGGAAGGGTTGGCGCGGCTCGGTTTGGATGGTTCCATCTGGCCGTTTCCGCCGGTAATTCCCAATGCAGGGTGGCGGGACAGCAGGCGACCGATCCGTCGTTGCCCGTTTTGGATGTCAGATGCCTATCTTTCACTCGTCATAAGCTGAGACGAGCCGTGCCCGTGTACATATCGCGTATAACCATGCACCTGGCAACAAATCACAAGACACACTGGTGGAGAAACCATCTTTCGTCGGTCGGCCGATTTCCACAATAGTCCCGGATGCAATAAAAACCGGGGCTAAAGATGATCTTTAGTCCCGGTTCAAAAGGGTAACGGGCATATTTGATCTTTAGTCCCGGTTTGTGTTACCAACCGGGACTAAAGATCATCTTTAGTCCCGGTTCGAATGCTGTCAGGACCTGTCAGGCCCCCCCGGGATCTTTAGTCCCGGTTGGTAGCACCAACCGGGACTAAAGATCTTAACTTTAGTCCCGGTTGGTAATACCAACCGGGACTAAAGATCCCGGTGATCTTTAGCCCCGGTTGGTGCTACCAACCGAGACTAAAGATCTTAACTTTAGTCCCGGTTGGTAATACCAACCGGGACTAATGATCCCGGTGATCTTTAGCCCCGGTTGGTGCTACCAACCGGGACTAAAGTCCCACCTCTATATATATGTCTTCTTCCTCCTCCAGCTGCCCGAGCAAGCTTCAAAATTTCTTCAAAAAAGAGGGGAGGTCATGCCAAAATTTCTATTGAATTTATTTTGGTGATTACATACAAATCGGAGGTGCCTAAAAGGTTTGCAACTTCATCCTCCAATGTTTTTTTTGTCATACTACATTTGCACCTATGTTTTGCACACTTTTTTTGTCTCCAAAATTTAGTTGTAAGTTGATGAGAGAGAAAATGTGTGTGGGGAAGAAAGAATATATAGAAATTTAGTTCATTTGCTAAACAAGGTTTTATAAAATAGTTGAGAAGGAAAACTCTAGTGAAAGTTAATATTAAATAATAGAAAACAAACTAAAATAAAAATTAAAAGAAGTAAAACACATTAAAATTAGTTTAAAACTTTACAAATAGTTTTTAAGAATTATTTGGTGTAATATTTTATAATTTTTGTATGAATAAAGATATCTTATAATTATTGTATGACTGTCATTATTGTAAGAATAATTATTTGTGTGCGGTTTTTTTGACTCATGTAGATGGATCGGCAATGGATGTACGCTGACCGGCGGTCCAAAGAGTTTATTGACGGCGTGCACTATTTTTTGAGAGTGGCCGAAGCTAACAGGCAAAGGGGTTTTATTTGTTGTCCATGCAATAAGTGTAAGAATCAGAAGGAGTATTCTGCATCCAGGACTATTCATTTCCACTTGTTTGAGTCGGGGTTCATGCCAAGCTATAATTGTTGGACATCCCACGGAGAGCAAGGTGTTGAAATGGAAGAAGATGAAGTGGAAGACGACAATATTCCGGACTTTGCTCAGTATGTTGGATTTGAAGGAAATCAAACGGGCGAGGAGGAAATAGCTGCTGATGGTAACGACGTTGCGGATGATCTTGGTCAGATGTTGCAGGACGCCAGGGAAGACTGCGAAAGTGAAAAGGAGGCCCATAAATTGGACAAGATGTTGGAGGACCACAGAACTTCGTTGTACCCAGGTTGCGAGCAGGGGCACAAAAAGTTGGATACCACTCTGGAGTTGTTGCAATGGAAGGCAAAAAATGGGGTTAGTGACAAGGCATTTGGCGATTTATTGAAACTCGTCAAGAACATTCTTCCGGGGGGAAACAAATTGCCCGAGACAACGTACGAGGCTAAGAAGATAGTCTGCCCGTTAGGACTGGAAGTTCATAAGATTCACGCATGTCCGAACGATTGTATCCTATATCGCGGTGAGGAGTATGAGAACCTAGAAGCATGCCCTGTTTGCAAAGCACTACGATACAAGATTAGACGGGACGATCCAGGAGAAGTTGACGGGCAGCTAACAAAGAAGAGAATTCCTGCTAAGGTGATGTGGTATTTCCCTATAATACCACGGCTAAGGCGTTTGTTCAGGAACAA